GTGTGTGTGTGTGTGTCTGTGTGTGTGTGTGTGTGTGTGTGTGTGTGTGTGTGTGTGTGTGTGTGTGTGTGTGTGTGTGTTTCTTGCGTGTGTGTGTGTGTGTGTGTGTGTGTGTGTGTGTGTGTGTTTCTTGCGTGTGTGTGGAGGAAATCTGATGGTTTGAGGATTTCAGGGGGAAAGAGACAATGGGGGGGTGAGGATTTAGCAGTGAGTGTGAGGGGGATTGAGTGCATCAGTGAGTGTGTGTGCGTGTCAGTGTGTGTGGAAGGGATTGAGGGGAGCTGACCCATAAAAAGCAGACAGACACACCCTGTCCCACCGTCTCCTCTTCTTTCATTCGAAATATTACTGTTTGGCACGGGTCAAATGCTCGGCCTTCTGTATTTCTATAGAATCGCTCATCCAAACAAAATTCACACTCAACTCTGCACTTCTTTCCGTCCTGACCGATACACTGGCCAAATGTGAAGTTGATTGGACGGTTGATCAAGAAAAATACCAATAAATATAATCCCGTCTCGAATGTGTGTGTTTTAGCGGTGGTGACGTGCTGTAGTTCCTTTAAAGGTCCCATGTCATGGCCATTTCTACTGATCATAATTCCATTGTTGAGGTCTACTAAAATAGATTTATATTGTTCAATGTTCCAAACTCACATTGGTTCCTCATACAGCATCTCTGTAAAGTATGTGTATTCACTCTCTGTCCTAAACGGCTTGTTGGAGCTCCTGCCCCCCCCCCCCGTCCCTGTGAGCCCAGTGTGCTCTGATTGGTCGGGAAGTTGCGAGGCTCGTTGCTGCGATCTTCTGCGAGGAGCGGACAGGCTTCCGTGTCGGCGATACAGCGAGAACAAGCGAAACTCATCCTGAGCACACACAAACACTCACAGCCGAAGTAAAAACAATAAGTGTGGCTTGATATTGAGTAAGAAAAAGGTTTCTAACGCTGTGAGCATGGGTCTGAGGAGAGCATTTCTCCGCGATCCCAATTTAGCAGCCCGAAAAAACGTTTACCCATTTAAACAGTCGTGGTAGATACCTTGTTTGTTTTAAACATCATAAATACACAAACAACAATGAATACTTACAGGTTGTGTACCCGAATCTCCCGCTGGTCCAAACAAAGTAGGAACAGCATCGTTCTTCAGTGCCCTACGCTGTACATATCCGGCATGAATCGCTGAAAGGTTTGTGAAGCTTTGTTTCGTGAAATGCTGGCAGAGGGTGCGTCCTCTGGGTATTCACACGTCACAGTACCCAGGAAGTAAACAATGGAAAATGAGAAATCTCCAACGAGGCGTTTTGGGGCAGCATAGACTGTGTTAGAGTTTTACTCGCTACAGGGTGTACTTTGAGGGTTTTTTACTCTGCAGACCGTTTACATGCATAAAAACCTTCATAACACACAAGGGGACAGGTAATAACCGGAAAAGCATGACATGGGCCCTTTAAAGCCCAACATTAGCCACCTTTAGCTTAGCGGTGGTGACGTGAAGTCATGTGACCATGCTGTAGTTCCTTTATAGCCTAACATTAGCCGCCTTTAGCTTAGCGGTGGTGACGTGAAGTCATGTGACCGTGCTGTAGTTCCTTTATAGCCTAACATTTGCCGCCTTTAGCTTAGCGGTGGTGACGTGAAGTCATGTGACCGTGCTGTAGTTCCTTTATAGCCCAACATTAGCCGCCTTTAGCTTAGCGGTGGTGACGTGAAGTCATGTGACCGTGCTCTAGTTCCTTTAAAGCCCAACATTAGCCGCCTTTAGCTTAGCGGTGGTCACGTGAAGTCATGTGACCGTGCTGTAGTTCCTTTATAGCCCAACATTAGCCGCCTTTAGTTTAGCGGTGGTGACGTGAAGTCATGTGACCGTGCTCTAGTTCCTTTAAAGCCAAACATTAGCCGCCTTTAGCTTAGCGGTGGTGACGTGAAGTCATGTGACTGTGCTGTAGTTCCTTTAAAAGCTGAATTAAGCTGAAGCAAGGTTTTTTTTGTTGCCTATTAGTTTAATTTCTTTCTTTTTTAAATGGCATAGGCTCACTTTAGGATATGTTGTGATATATGCTAAGATCCAGAGGCAATATACTTTTGGTCGTACACTAGTTTATGAAGCTGCTTCAGTCTCCCTGCAGCACGCAGTGGATTCATGCAGTCAGTGATAAGATGGAGATAAAGGTAGCCGGTGAAAGAGACAGAGAGAGACCAGGAGGCTCTGACAGAAAGTGAGCGCCCTCCTATATCTAATGTTTTCTATTATTCATGAGTCACAAGAAGCAGTGGAGGAGAAGAGATTGTAGCTTTCCATCTTCCCCTGAGTGTCTTATATGACCATCTGCCTCTGACTCCCATCCTTCAGTCTCTCTTATTTCCCCTCCAGGTCTCCGGTCCCTCGCTCTTTGTGCTCTTTGCAGATTTAAACTAAAGACTTTTTGCTTGCATGTCCCGGAGACATAGCTGTTAAAGAAGGCTGTAACATGTGAAGTAGTGAAAAGGAAACACTGATGGTCAGAGACAAAGAACCGCAGTTTCTCTGGATAGCAACGCACAGCAAAAAGACAGGAAGTATATACTGAGGGTTTAAAAGCTAGATAGCAACCTGACTTTCCAAGACCAAACTGTGAATGCTAATATGGTCGCAAAGTCACCATTCACTAACATTGATATATATATTTTTAAATATGTCTTTATATGCCATACAGTGGTGCAGGAATGAGTCCTAAAACCCTGAAATTAGTCAGCATTTCACCACTTCATCGATGGTTCGTCTAGAATGAATAATTTTGGCCTTTGTGATGCTAACTATCGTTTTAGCCTACTAAAATTCCTCATTCCTGCTATTGATTTCGGATGAAATAGGTAGCTCTAAAAATGACTTTTTCATGTGAGCAGTTGCTAACAAGTTTCTAAATGAGACGACTAAACGGACCATGGAGATGCTGCCTTCAGGGTCTTCTACAGAAATACAACATCTGCAGCATGCTCTCTAGCTGGTTTGATACATGATAGCTTGCTCGCTTGTCACCTAGCTAACTGGATTTGCAGTTTAACCCTTAAATGGTTTCTGTATCCTGCGGGGACACATTTATTTGACAGGCGTCCATGTGTTAAAATGGGTGTAATTACGATATAATATGGGGGTAATATTGGTGTTGCATGGGTGTAATATGGGGATAATATTGGTGTTGCATGGGTATAATATGGGGATAATATTGGTGTTGCATGGGTGTAATATGGGTGTAATAACAGTGTAATACGGGTGGTATACAGGTGTCCTACCGGTGGTGTAATGGGGTTGTAATAACAGTGTAATATGGGTGTAATAACAGTGTAATTACGATATAATATGGGGGTAATATTGGTGTTGCATGGGTGTAATATGGGTGTAATAACCATGTAATATGGGTGTAACATGGGCGTCATACCGGTGGTGTAATAGGGGTAACAACAGTGTAATATGGGTGTAATAACAGTGTAATTACGGTATAATATTGGCGGTAAAATTGGTGTTGCATGGGTGTAATATATGTCTAATAACAGTGTAAGATGGGTGTAACATTGTCGTAATACAGGTGTCATACCGGTGGTGTAATAGGGTTGTTATAACAGTGTAATATGGGTGTAATAACAATGTAATTACGATATAATATGGGGGGTAATATTGGTGTTGCATGGGTGTAATATAGGTCTAATAACAGTGTAACATGGGTTTGATATGGGTGTAATCATGATGTAACATAGGTGTAATAACGGAGTAATGTGGGTGTAATACAGGTGCAATAACTGTGTAATATGGGAGTAATAACAGTGTAATAACAGGGTAATTACGATATAATATGGGGTGTAATATTGGTGTAACATGGGTGTAATAACTGTGTAATAAGGGTGTTATTTAGAAAAAAGCAATCAATTAATTTAAGGGTTCAAATACACAGATACATACAAAACACACAAAAAAACAGCCAAGACGACCAAGTTGTCTAAAAGTCTTCTACTTTATTCAATAAGATAAATGTTTTTGTAAAACATTCAATAAAAAATGATCTTAATTTATTGCTCATCGTCATCTTTACACTAGGACTTGATCTGATGCATAATATTGTTTCCAAACCACTCTCACAAGGATTATGTTGCTAGATATTTAGACAAGATTTTATGCTGTTGTTATAATAATAGTAAATAACTTACATACATACGCACGTTCAGATTATATAAAAACAAACCATACAAGTTACAGATGCCGAAAACAAAAAACAGAGAAGGGACAGGCGGACTCAGGGATCCTCTCACGTACTTTTGGAGTTTCTGCATTCATTGCTTTTCCAAAGAAGTTTTAAACTAAAATCATGTTGGAAGAAAGTCAAACGAAGCTCGGGAAAACCTTCTTTGTACCTTGGAAGCAGTTTTTAAAGGTCCCCCCTATACAGTACATGCATTTATGATGAAATAACGAGGCTATATTCAACGTTTAGTGTCATTCTGCCAACTAGTTAACACTTTCCAACAACTAAACTGTTCAATTAAATAAAACATAATGTCCAAACCAAGGGGAGGTTTGCAAGTGAACCATGGAGTCTTTACAATGGCTCCATTTAGAGTTGATGTGTTGCATATATGCTTGTTGTTGTACTGGAAATCTTTCATTTAAAGCGATACCATTTTACATTTCCCAAATAATATCTTAAAGGGGACCTATCATGCAAAATGCACTTTTGTACGTCTTTTATACATGAATATGTCCCCGGTGTTCCAGGGAACTCACCAAGTGTCAGAAAACACAACCCTCTCTATTTTCCTCCATACCCAAATCTCTAAAAAAGGGGCTGCAACGGATCTGATAAAAACGGATCCAGATTTGAACACTATCCTGACGTCAGGACGGTGGCGCTACGGCTATTGGGCCAACTCCACCAATCAGGAGGAGACAGCCACGGCCATTGCCGTTCGAAAGCGCTGGAGACGCTGTAGTACATATGCCAGGCCAGTAGATGGTGCTGTTCTCACTGAATCAGCCCTTACAAACACAGAGCTAAAAAATGCAAATTGAGCGAAATGAGGCATGGCTAAAATGCATGATCTGTTTGGTATTTTTTTTTTTTTAAAGTATAAATATGTCTTATATAGGTATGGTCCTACACTATATTATTATAATATAGCATGATAGGTCCACTTTAAAAGAATCTGAAACATGTCAGTGTGTCGGATGAACAATCTGCTCAGTCTGATGTGTTTTACAGAAAGGAAGTGCGTAGATTAGATGGATTTTTGATAAAACTAAGTGTTTAAATGAACAAAAGAGGAGTATTAAATGTTGTCGGTTACATATTAAAGTCATCCGAGGGCCGACAGCCTTTAGGGAACGGGGTCATGTTGAAGAAAAGTTATATAATGAGACTCATTACAGTACTGAGACGATGTGAGGCTCCCCTGTCCCGAGTCATTTAGAGAATCCCACATCCTTGCCACTCCTCCTCTCATACACACTCTCAATAACCTGTGTGTGTGTGTGTGTGTGTGTGTGTGTGCGTCCTCAGGCCTGTCTGTGTGTGTGTGACACAGATGCATGTGTGTGTGCATGTACAGTAAGTGTGTGTGTGCTTCACAATCCACATGGGAGCCTCATGTCCAAATGTATGCAAAAAAAAGACATCTGCACACATATACACACACTCACACACTCACACACGCACGCACGCACGCACGCACGCACACACACACACACACACACACACACACAGGCCAGTTCTGAGGTCAGTGGTTATCGTGCCACATATTTACATTCTCGTTTTAAGGAAACTGTGTACAAGGCAGTAGTAGATGGTGATCTGGCAAGGTGTAGAAGTGTTTTAAGGGGTATGAGGAAGAGGGACACAAAGACTAAGGTAAGAGATAAATAAATAAATAAATAAATACCGAGTACTGATCAATAAGTTAATAAGTTAAAGGGTCTGTGTAGAGAGTAATGTAGTGTGTGCATGGTGTGTTTGATGTTGTCTTTAGGGGCTGTAGCTAAGGAGGAGTAAACCCCCAGAGACCCCTAGCTTAGTTCAAAACAAACAGAGCTGCTATGAAACATTGCGACTTAATGACTGTGAAGCTGAAAAACACTGCAGATCTCAGGATGTAAATGTAATAACCATGCGTTGTGTGAAACTGTAGGAGTCACTCTGGGAAGATAGAAGTCATCGCTGAGAACTGAGGAACTTTTCCTATAACTCGTGCATCTTAAATTGCCTCTATGACGGCAGGATGTTCACAAAGATTTTTGTACCCCCGATAGACCCCTTTAAAATCTTTAGACAATGGAGCGGGGCAGGAATGAGTCCTATGAGTATTTGCTTGTGTGGAAGTCAAGGGTTTTCTGAATGTGTTTTTGGTTGTTAGCCTGAAATAAGGTCTCTGGTTAACACAAGCTGGAGAGATTTTAACGTCAGTAAATACCCCACTGGTGGATTTAAAAACAGAGGTTGCTAACAAGTGTCTAAATGAGACGACTAAACGTCATCACGCCCAACATTAGCCGCCTTTAGCTTAGCATTTAGCTTAGCCGTTAGCTCAGCTTTATAGCCTAACGTTAGCTTTTTAGTTCAGAAATCATTAAGTGGTGTTAATATGTAGAGATTATCCTGCTGTTGTATCATTAACAAATTCCTCATTCCTGCACCAGTCCATTGATGTTTGGATGAAATAGGTCGCTCTAAGCATGGATTTGACATGAGTTAGTGTTAGCTTACATGTAGGGATTGCTAGCTAGCTTGAATGCTACTTCTTCTTCTGGTGTTTTTTGGCTATATTGAAAAGCCTCAGATGCGATACGACTTACACGTAGCCCGCGTTGGTCTGTTTGGGAACATTCAAACCTTTGTCTGTGGGCCAACATGAGCAAATCCTTAGTGTATATAATTGGTGTTACAAGGGGTAAAAGTTGTAGTGTTGTTATTAAGTCAACCACCAAATTGTGCATTGTTTCTATTACCTTTCAATTGAAAATGTAGGATTATTTTGTAACACCCAGTCAGTCTGGCAGTGACAATATCCCTACAGTTTATCAAAAGAAATGGTGGAAAGAGAACTCGCTATGCTTCATACGTAGAGAGGACAGAAAGCGTGTGACTGGCAGCTGCATAAATAAGTCATCATATATCCTACACACATATATAAAGGGTTATTGATCATCATATATCATAGTAATAATGCATTGTAGTGGCAAACTTGCAGTGAGTGTGCGTGTGTGTGTGTGTGTGTGTGTGTGGAAGAACCCAGAGTTCGGAGTGTGTGAGTGTGTGTTCGAGGGGGAAGTCAGCTGTTGTACATTCACGGTGAAAAAAGTTAGGAGGTTGGAGAGGAGGGTGGGGTTCATCTGTGTGGGTTAAAGTTGAAAGGTGGTGTCTTCTAGAGAAGGATGCACTTCCCTTTCTCCACCCACGGGTTGCTCTTCATCAGCTCGGGGTTCAGGAACGGGTCCTCGGGGACGCCGTCCTCTATCCACTTCACCAAACTGAGAGACACACAGAGAGACAGTTTTTAGATTCCCAGAACACTGTCCATCCGGCAGAGATGGCAAAAGTACACACATCCTGTACTCAAGTAGAAGTACAGATACTCGTGTTTAAATATACTCTGGTGAAAGTAGAAGTACTGACTAAACTTCTTTACTCAAGTAAAAGTAAAGAGGTCTTTGAAATGTACTTCAGTAAAAAGTGCCCATAACTAGCAGCTGTTTTAAAGAGTACCTGACCTCCCTTTATATTAATAGAACAATAATGTCATTGTTAGCTAATGAATGTTTCCATGCTGAACAACGGCAACATGACAACGTTTTCATTGGTCCCTCTTCTTTAGAGAAGACCAGGAAATGATGGATACACGGATCGTGTTCAAATCAATAGGCACGCAATGACTCTAAAGAATAATGATCACGCCACCAAACACACATTCAAACTAAAGGAACCAGCCTGTTTGGGAAATGTGAGAAGTAGAAAGTACAGGTATTTGTGTTCAACATGTAAGAAGTAGAAAGTACAGGTATTTGTGTTCAACATGTGAGAAGTAGAAAGTACAGGTATTTGTGTTCAACATGTAAGAAGTAGAAAGTACAAGTATTTGTGTTCAACATGTAAGAAGTAGAAAGTACAGGTATTTGGGTTCAACATGTAAGAAGTAGAAAGTACAAGTATTTGTGTTCAACATGTAAGAAGTAGAAAGTACAGGTATTTGGGTTCAACATGTAAGAAGTGGTCAGAAAAATAAGTATTGGAGTAAAGTACTGATACCAGAAAAATGTACTTAAGTACAGTAACAAAGTATTTCTACTCCACTACTCCCCACCTCTGACATACACTATCACTGTTTTTCCTTACAAGGCATGAAAAAGAGTCAGAAGCTGAAGAGCATGACGTTAGTAATCCTCAGCGTGTGTGTAGATAGAGGTATATCATGTTCCATTTACTTGTATATAGACTCTTCTTGCACTATTTCTATTGTATGTGTATTTACTTGCACATCTCAAAACATTCTCTTGCACTATGTTATCTGTTTTATTTCTTTTATGTCTTCTATATATTCATGTTGCTCTGTTGGAGGAACTTGTGACTTCAGTTTTTCATTGACATATCTACACTGTAGCTGCTGAGCACATGATGATATGCAATAGCCATCAAAAGCTGATTGATTGGAGTTCATTTAGATTATTTCTGCAGCCCTGGTTCTTCTTGAGTCAAAGCTAAGCTCTCTTTCCCTCCCTGCTCCTCACAGTTGTTCAGTATTTTCCACAGTATTCTTACAGCAGGTTTTTTTTAAAGCACTGACCCTGAATATATACTCGTTTTCCAACACGAAGCACAGCCAGTCCTTTTCCTCTGTGATGATGATGAAGATGAAGCAGCAGCTTTGCTCAGTGATTCAGAGCGGCTGTGACAGTTAATGAAGTCACTGTTTTATTATTGTAATGACTAACGCTGCCATAGAGTCATCGGTATTTAATTGTCCAACGTATTACAATGAACAACAGCAGATAATATGTCATGCTTAATGCGAGGAGCGGTTATATTGGTGTGTAATGAAATATCCCACTGAGTTACCGTGGAAACAGCAGCTTGTTAATCTGTGTTAACTGGGAGTCCATTTACTCACTTCCTCTGGAGGATTCAACCATAAGACACAGGCTTTTTTTAGGAAAATAGGCTTTATTAAGTAGAAACGTCAATGTGATTAAAGTTGCTAAATGCTACACTGATCACTAGATTCAGATTTATTTTTTAAAGGTCAAATTGTTTTCTTTTTTTTGTTTATTTCACAATTTTCTGACGTTTCATTTCTTAATACTTTTGTGATAATGGTTGTAGTGAGTCTTTAAATTACCTCTAAAACTCACTATTATAAAACATACCACATATATTATAGATATATGTCAGATAGATAGCCAACGTTCTCTTGCTAGCTTGTTGGATAAGCAACCAACCGTTTGATGAGATGAGATTAGAAGCATTTATTGTCATTATACATGTAAATAGATAGTTAAAAAATGCTTTATTAAATATCTATATCACCAATATTTAGAAGGACATCCATGTCTTTTGGGACTGTGCTAAGTTAGCCGTTTCCCTATTGTTCCGTACCAGTCTTTGTGCTAAACTAAGCTAATTACTGAGTTGACATCATATTACGCTAAAACATGGCGTGAAGGTTATTGAAAAGTTATTTATCAGTATTGACCATGATAGTCAGGCAAGTACTAGAAACAGGTACAAACACCGAATGCATGATATGATATAGCCCAGCGCAACACCTTCGTCTCGCATGTTGCCACTTGTTTGTACCATTTTCAGGCGATTTGTAATCTGTTCTAGAAAAACGATATGTTTTTTAGGATTTCAAGAAGCATATAGAACAAACAATGGATGTATTTTATGAACATGTATCCATGCTGGAAGTAGATTTAGATGTTAGGAGTTAGATAGAGATTATTATCTAATATATGCATCAGATGAAGCATTGCATGAAGTCTGTTGATGATCAGAGGCTGTTGTTGGGGCAGACCATGCAGGCCTCAGAGAGCTAAACTTGGGCCTGCTGTTGTGTCTCGTCAGATTTGTTAGTATTATTTCTCTGTTTAGTTAATATCGTCAAGTCCGCGTCTGCTAACCCTTTTTTGTTGTCTGTCATTTCCTGTTTTACTTTGATTATCTCTTCTCTCATTTCAGGTAGTTCGACTCCTACCCTATCGGTGTGTTCACTGACCTGATTACCTGCCCCGCCCTTATTGTTTGCACCTGCAGAGCCCCTTGTGTGTGTATTTATTCTGTTTTCTCTGTGTCAAGTGCCACATCGTTTCGACCCTTGTGTTACTTGTCAGCCAGTTGTTTTCTGAGCTACAGTGAATCTAAGTTAGTTTTTTGTGAAGTCATTTGAGAGTTTGTATTACCTTGCTTATCACCACAAGTAAATCCTTTTTTTTAATCATCTTTTGTCTGGAGTCGTGCATTTGGGTCCTATCATTTTTGTGTGTGCCCCAGTCATAACACCTGCGACCATAGTTTTACTGTATTTTATTTTGAAAATCCACAGTGGAGGTTTGTGTCGTACTACATGGGGTGTATTTTGCATTTCTCTCAGTAGCCAACGACCTGTGAGTCTGTTGGACATAAACTCCGTAATAAATGTAGTCTACATTTCATAAGAGGTGTAAAACCTGAGAGCATTTTAAATCGCATTTGAACTAAATGCTTATATAATCTGTTGTATTTTGTATTGTTGATTTATTGTGTGAACGAGGCGATACAGAGAAGGTTAAGCTGTCATAGGCTGTTATTGTTGGAGTGGTGAGCAGGCCTATTGTTTTGGGATATGTGTGGAGTCAGGTGGTCCGTGAATGTTTTTTTATGGTTAAGTGTCCTTGGTATGAAAAAGTTTGAGAACCACTGCGCTAGTGGATTGTCAACGGGGGGAGCCTCGCTGCGGGGGAATTATACAGATGGCTAGTCCGTCCTTGAAAAATGTCTATGCACACGTTATTATCAATAATCATTTAAAAAAAAAAATCTTAAAAGAATTAATTTAATTTAATTTACAATTTTTATTTTGTAATCATCTCGCGACCCCCACTTTGGGAACCCCTGTGCTAAGCTAAGCTAACCCCCTGTCTCCTTCTAAAGTGCTATTTATTAGATGTTTGATTAGCTTTGTGCCGGTAGAGAGTATACTCACTCGGTCACTGTTTTGGAGGATTTCTCCCGTTTGAAGGCCAGCTGGTACTTGAGGCTCTCCACCTCCTTCTTCATCTGAGGAACATCCCACTCATCCATGTCTTCAGCTCGATGTGAAGCTCGTTCTACCTGCACAGCGGGGGGTATCAGAGTTACATTTAGACACAACATTAACACATTTAGACACAACATTAACACGGTTTAATGGCAGTTGAGCTCCATGGGTCCTGCAGAAACCTGATGAATACCTGCTGCTAAACATTTACACCTACATGAGGGGAGAGTTAAACAAACAGGTGACGATAAAACTCATTTACCGCCACAGGAAACTACTTTTGATTCTTCGGGGCTGCAAGTTTACAAAAAGTGATTTGGCTTTAAGGAATAAGAATTGAATTAGGTTTGCAGCTAACATGTCAGCAGGTCAATAGCACATCCATGTTATGCAAATGTAGGTTCATATATATTGGTAGTTTCATTGGGAAATAGATGAATTTTACCATCTTGTGTTTATATATATTTAATTATTTATTGAACACTTTTATTGTTGCGAACTGTTACTCCAAAATGATATATTATATGTTATATCACTGCAAAATGCCGGTGGTGAAATCTACAGAAATATCTTCTTGATTTTTTGGTTGCTGCATCTTTCCCTTTGTCTATTCCTCTCTCTCTCTCTCACTCCACTCCCACGCTGTGTCCACTATACCCTCTGTGTGTGTGTGTGTGTGTGTGTGTGTGTGTGTGTGTGTGTGTGTGTGTGTGTGTGTGTGTGTGTGTGTGTGTGTGTGTGTGTGTGTGTGTGTGTGTGTGTGAGTCATGGTCTGGTCTGCACTCAGATCGATCTCACTGAGGTGCTTCAACACAGAAATAACACTTGTATTTTTGAGGGACGTTAAATAATACTCAATGTTACGCAATAGTCCTTTATGAGGCTTCTGTGAGTGTGTGTGTGTGTGTGTGTGTGTGTGTGAGTGTGTGTGTGTGTTTGTGTGTGTGTGTGGGGGGGGGGCAGGAAACACAGCTCTGATTCAACACCCACTTCACCACACGGTCAGGATGCTAATGAAGTACATCATAACAACACAATACAATGAGCATTAGTGAGAATTTAAAATAGATCTGATACTCACGAAAGCTATTTTTACCCAGATACAGAGTCGTTGGTTAGAAAAATGTAACATCAGCAGGAGAGGACTCTTTAAAGTAGAGACACTACATACTGATATACACCTGAACATCAGCAGGAGAGGACTCTTTAAAGTAGAGACACTACATACTGATATACACCTGAACATCAGCAGGAGAGGACTCTTTAAAGTAGAGACACTACATACTGATATACACCTGAACATCAGCAGGAGAGGACTCTTTAAAGTAGAGACACTACATACTGATATACACCTGAACATCAGCAGGAGAGGACTCTTTAAAGTAGAGACACTACATACTGATATACACCTGAACATCAGCAGGAGAGGACTCTTTAAAGTAGAGACACTACATACTGATATACACCTGAACATCAGCAGGAGAGGACTCTTTAAAGTAGAGACACTACATACTGATATACACCTGAACATCAGCAGGAGAGGACTCTTTAAAGTAGAGACGCTACATACTGATATACACCTGAACATCAGCAGGAGAGGACTCTTTAAAGTAGAGACACTACATACTGATATACACCTGAACATCAGCTGGAGAGGACTCTTTAAAGTAGAGACACTACATACTGATATACACCTGAACATCAGCAGGAGAGGACTCTTTAAAGTAGAGACGCTACATACTGATATACACCTGAACATCAGCAGGAGAGGACTCTTTAAAGTAGAGACGCTACATACTGATATACACCTGAACATCAGCAGGAGAGGACTCTTTAAAGTAGAGACACTACATACTGATATACACCTGAACATCAGCAGGAGTGGGACTCTTTAAAGTAGAGACACTACATACTGATATACACCTGAACATCAGCAGGAGAGGACTCTTTAAAGTAGAGACACTACACACTGATATACACCTGAACATCAGCAGGAGAGGACTCTTTAAAGTAGAGACACTACATACTGATATACACCTGAACATCAGCAGGAGAGGACTCTTTAAAGTAGAGACACTACATACTGATATACACCTGAACATCAGCAGGAGAGGACTCTTTAAAGTAGAGACACTACATACTGATATACACCTGAACATCAGCAGGAGAGGACTCTTTAAAGTAGAGACACTACATACTGATATACACCTGAACATCAGCTGGAGAGGACTCTTTAAAGTAGAGACACTACATACTGATATACACCTGAACATCATCAGGAGAGGACTCTTTAAAGTAGAGACACTACATACTGATATACACCTGAACATCATCAGGAGAGGACTCTTTAAAGTAGAGACACTACATACTGATATACACCTGAACATCAGCAGCAGAGGACTCTTTAAAGTAGAGACACTACATACTGATATACACCTGAACATCAGCAGGAGAGGACTCTTTAAAGTAGAGACACTACATACTGATATACACCTGAACATCAGCAGGAGAGGACTCTTTAAAGTAGAGACACTACATACTGATATACACCTGGACATCAGCAGGAGAGGACTCTTTAAAGTAGAGACACTACATACTGATATACACCTGAACATCAGCAGGAGAGGACTCTTTAAAGTAGAGACACTACATACTGACATACACCTGAACATCAGCAGGAGAGGACTCTTTAAAGTAGAGATACTACATACTGATATACACCTGAACATCAGCAGGAGAGGACTCTTTAAAGTAGAGACACTACATACTGACATACACCTGAACATCAGCAGGAGAGGACTCTTTAAAGTAGAGACACTACATACTGATATACACCTGAACATCAGCAGGAAAGGACTCTTTAAAGTAGAGACACTACATACTGATATACACCTGAACATCAGCAGGAGAGGACTCTTTAAAGTAGAGACACTACATACTGATATACACCTGAACATCAGCAGGAGAGGACTCTTTAAAGTAGAGACACTACATACTGATATACACCTGAACATCAGCGGGAGAGGACTCTTTAAAGTAGAGACACTACATACTGATATACACCTGAACATCAGCAGGAGAGGACTCTTTAAAGTAGAGACACTACATACTGATATACACCTGAACATCAGCAGGAGAGGACTCTTTAAAGTAGAGACACTACATACTGACATACACCTGAACATCAGCAGGAGAGGACTCTTTAAAGTAGAGACACTACATACTGATATACACCTGAACATCAGCAGGAGAGGACTCTTTAAAGTAGAGACACTACATACTGATATACACCTGAACATCAGCAGGAGAGGACTCTTTAAAGTAGAGTGCAGGTACTTACATCATCATGATTAGTTGGATCCATATCCAAAGACCTCCCCAAAGTTCTCTTATAATCTTATATCTGCAGTTTTAAACCTCCGGCAGTCTCTCGTGGATTCAATGTCAAACTGATTTTCCTTTTCCTCTCATTCACCTGCCTGTATCTATTATACTCTCCCCCATTCTCTTCTCCCCCATCATTTACCTCCCCCATTGTCTCCCTCTCCTTCTCAAATTACTCCCATTTGCTCACTGGTTTACATTCGTCTGTTTATCTTCTGCATCTCAGCTAATTAACACCTGAGCAAACGTTGAGCCTCAGACCTCCAGCAACGTATTAACTAAAGTAATAACGATCTAAATCATGGAAGGGTATTTCTTACTTTTTGTAAACACTAAATATATTATTGGATACATGTTTTCCCACCGCTTCAGTCTCACTCTCCTCCCGTCAGTACTATCTGTTTCCTGTCTGTCTCACACTAAGTGCTCCTGGTCCATTTTCACCCAACAGTTAATCCATTGCTCCACACATTATCAATCTGTTTCTCACATGACGCCTAGCTGGTTTTAAAACACTCTAAAATAACACATTCAGCCAAAGCCAGAAGTCCTATATATAAATGTAGTTTATTAAGCTGCCAATAAGAGGTGTCGACACATTGATAGAACTTCTTTAAACCAATGATATGAAGCCTTGTCTGCTTACACATAGGTTGCCTCTCAGGTTTGGAGAGGATAAACAGGTATTTTTCCACAATCTGAAACTCTTAAAGCTTCTTTTCACACAGGATGCAGTAAGGATGGGCATATTCTGTATTCTGCTGGATTTAGGTGTTCATTTGTTTTCTGGACTTACAAAGAACCTATGGGAACCTTCATGGATTCTCTCATAACCATTGGACACGTAGCGGAAGTTACGCGACCAGCCGTGATTGCGTTTACTCTGTTGAACACCATACAAAAAAATAAATAATGTATTTTAAGTATTTTATGAACCTACAACTATACTGGTGTCAAAAAGAGGCCACAATTATTTGTATTAAAACAAGTGATGTAATGTAAAGTGTGACGTCCAATCAAGTAAGTATGTGGTTTTTGCAAATGTGAGATTTACCCGTATATTCTCATCTGACCCACAATGCATTGTGTTTGTGTCCCTTCACACTGGCTATCAGATTTCATGCCAGGCTAAACACTTTAAATATGGCTAAACATAACCAAAAAACAAGTTAGATTACAATATGTGGTCAGTTTATCTAAATAGCGCCGTTACACCAGATATGACGGAGCCTTGAGACTGTCTTGGTCGCCACTCGTGTTGGCGTCTCATTTGATAATACTTCAGTGCAAACATAGTATAGTTTGATTCAGATAACAGGACATGTTGCGTAATATTTTCATGATAGGATAAAAGTCTTTGGTTGGTTGCAATAAAAATCCACTTTTTAGGTTTCTTTGTAACAAATCCAGACATCCATACATTATATTAAGATTTAGGGCCTATTAATAAACAGTTAATCATTCATTAAGTATGCAGTATGTAGAACATACTGATTGTAGTATGTGAGTATTGGACTTTGAACCCAGCAGAATAAGAGGTGAGTCTGAGGGTGATTTGTTATACATTTGGTTATATAGTGATTGGCAATTAACCAACGTTTTTAGACCCATTAAATGTTGACCTGAAAGTACCAAAGTCAACAGGTTCACATCTCCATCCAGCAGATATTTCAGTCTGGACCAAAGTGGT